TAATTTGTTAATGGTGGTTTATATCCCATTTACATGGAAAAGTAAGTAGAGGGCTTAAAACTATTTTACTAATCTAATTTCATTGTAACTGACTCCTGATAAGTGACCAGCAGACATTTGGCAGCTATTACTACTAAAAAATTAATGTTGAATCCATCTGATTAATGTCACAAAGACCTCCAAATATTCTTCTCCCAAGTATTTCAGAAGTAACTGTTTTGAAATGAAATTTGAAATGAAGCTACAAGGCAGAATATCTCCTAAGAAAACACATATTCCAGCCACATACACAGAGGGCGTCAGCCTAGAGCACATTTATACCATCAATACCATCACACCACATGGTGATTAATTTTTCTTCGGTGCACATGCACAATGAATTTACTTAAAAGGAGGTGGCAATTTCAATCTTTAATTCTTTCCTAATTCTTATGCATTTAGAGTTAACAAAATCAGCTAGTAAGCAGATGTATTATTTCCCATTTTAGTCTCAGGTCTTAAAAAAGGACAGTTAAACCATCAGGTCCACTGTATTTGAGATAAAGTAAAGTTCCTCTTTCAGATCAATGGAAATGAGAAGTAACTACATCTGACCCAGAGTTCCTTTAGTATTGTATTATTTTAAATTCTGACTCTATTTGAGATTTATAACCCTGTGAACCCCATACTATTTCCAGTTCCTGCCATAACCTCGATTATATTACTTCCCTCTGCTTGTGCAATGTTCTACTGCTCAGCGAAGATTTAAAGTCCTGTTTTCATTGTATTCCAATTACAGAAAGTGACTCAGAGCCAGATCTGAAAAGGATCTCCATCCTAAGGTAGGATGTTTATGGAATTTAGACATCTAATTCCAAAACTGCAACCCCCAAACCCCCTGCTCTGCTATTGGCTAATTCTAGACGCACCATAGGCATCTGAATTTTTTATATGAAAATTCCCCAGGTACTTACATTTCTACTTCTGTGCATGTCCAGAAATACTACAGGGTATATTTGCACAGCAAGTAGAGATATGACTGAAGCTTTTATAGGCAGAATCAAACTGTAAACTAGCTAGCTTGTGTACTGCAAGTAGTGTAGCAACAGCAGCTCAGAGCTGAGCCTGAGTTGACAGAGCTGCTGTCACACTTTGACTACAGTTGACCTACTTCAATCTTGACAAAGCTGAATAGCTTAATTTATGCTTAAGCTCCATCAGAATCCATACCAGAGCTATTCCTAGGCATTCTTATAGCCAGCCTAATAGATATTACCTAAGCTCTAGATCTAAAATAGGACTTGTTAGAGGTTTTTAGGAAGGATAGCTGTCCCTTTAAAGTTAGGTGTTATAATGTTCAGTGTAGCGGCACTTGGCTACCTTTTTGGATATGGGCCTTAACTACTGTTTTACATGTTCTCCATCCTCTCTTGTGTAGCAGGCGTACTGAGGGAAGGACACGAGTGAATAAAAAGAATACAGATATTTCTAGAATCATCTACAACAGCATTTCCCAAAGTGCAGGGTGTCCCCTCCCAACTGGAGGGCACAAAAGCCCCCTAGACCAGAGCTTTCCAAACTGTGTGCCGCGACACATTAGTGTGTCGGCAGCAGTGTGTAGGTGTGTCGCACAAAATGCAGAAAATTTTGCGGAAGGGCACCGCGGAGCTCCCTTACTCGCGTCTGCTTCCCTTGGCCCCTCCCCCGGAACTGAATTACTGTGTCGTGAAATGATGCATGTCTAAAAAGTGTGTCACCAACATGAAAAGTTTGGAAAGCTCTGCCCTAGACAGAGACATGTGCAGATGATGGCTACTCGTTGCCACTTATTCCAACCCTGTACTTGCTCTACATCAATCACCGCTGCTGTTCCCCACCAATTCTGTACACTGGTGGCAGCACCTAAAGGGAAGAAGGAGAATTGCAAGAGTGTCCAACCCTGCTAGGTGGGGCATAAACCAACAGAGCTGGGGCAATGTTGAGCTACAAGGATTGACTTAAGGGTAGAAGAATAAAAGCATATAGTCTGTGCTAGTTACGTCTTATATTTAGGAAAACCAGATCTACAGTTACTTAGGCCCAGAGTTCGAGATACTTACAAGAGTTACCCATGAAAGTGTTCTTCTGCAATAATTTACAGGAAGATCTTAAAGAGACATTATCATTATGTGCACTTGAAAACTTAAGCACAACACCTTTCCCTATTCCTCCAATTGGGATTGGAGAATATTAGTGCTACTGTAATATAAGTAATATACAGCAATAATAATAGGCCCCCATCAACCCCTATGTGTAACATGTAAGAAGCTTTTATAGATCTAAGAAATGGCTACAGGAATTTTTTTCAAGGTGGCGCAGGATAAAGCCAATTCCTCTCCCACTCTGCACCAACCTGTGTGGTGGGAGTATGGTCCACTCCATGAGTACATGGAGTCATCCAGGAAGAGTTTCACCTCCTTCTGCCAGACTCCTTCCTGGAGCTTTCTGTGGCAAGGTGCAGCTTTTCCCAAATTGCACAAATAGCCTAAACCAAGGGTGTCAAAGATCCTGCCCATAGGCCAGAGATATACCATCCAGCCCCACAGGCCAGATGAATGGCACAGGGCAAGTCCATGGGCTGGACTGAACCACAGACTGGCCCTGCATTCCAGCATGTGTCCTGGAGCGGCCAGTGGGTGCCTGGTCCTGCTTTAGCCACCCCAAGGCTATGTGACAGTCCCAGAGCCACTGCCAGGCTGCACTGCATGGCCCTGGAGCTGTTGCCACATAAGACATGGCTTTGGAGGGGCATGTGGCTGTCCCAGGGCTGTGCTGCACATGGCAGCTGATCTGGGACATGAGTCAGAGCAGACACTGAGTGCGGTGCACAGGGCCATCATGCTGCCTGTGGGTTACTGTGAGACCCACATGCAACACTGGGGAATGGATGATATGGCTCTGCAGGCCTGATAGTCTGTGAGCTGAATCTTTGACACCCCAGGCCTAAGCCATTAAAGGAACTGGGGGTTCACCTACTTCTGTTAAAAGGACCTCTTTTTAAACGCAGACATCTCTTACAATACTTATGCCGCAGACTTCAGAAGGGAAGAGTGAGAAAGACATCCAACCACTCTGGCCTAGGAGACAGTGCTCAAGTCAGGAAAGGAGGTCATGGATTTGGACTCTTTAACTGAGTTTAACTTTTCTGTGTAGTTCATCCTTAGTGCTGAATAATATCTAATATCCCTTCACCAAGAAACAGGCTATTTAGTTTATTTGTAAATTGGGGAAAATTGAGAAGTTACCCAAAGTCAATGTTGAGAACAGAATCTTGCTTTCTGCGACGGTAGAACCAAACCTAAAAGTAATATAATTGCTTTCAAGAGGGAATGTATGCTTTCTGTGCACAAAGCAATACATAACTATTGGTATAATCACTTAACTAGGACAGCCCTCTGCCAGCTAGAAAAAGAACACACAAACCTTGATTTCCAGGATTAACATAAGAGGAAACATAGAGGATTTTTTTGCTTCCAGTTACTCTTTCATATCAAATAGATTATGTTGTGGACCTGAAAGGGTTAGGTCCTATAGGCCATTCATGAGGGAAGCAAAAATAGTGCATTCTAATGTAATTAATGACATTATTATTATACTTATGTATATTACAATACAGGTAAGGTTGCATTGACAAGCTTACCCATAGCATTTGGTAACTTCTGAATACGGGATTTTGTAACTTTATATTTCTAACAGTTTTTAATTCATAATTTGCATGTGCACGTATAGGTTTTAGAATTTTTTTTAATTGTCAAAATGGTTTCATTCTGAATATTCCTTTCTTCTTACATTTTTCTTACTTGTATTTGCAGTAATAGGAGTGTTCCTTTTAAGAACACATTTGGATAGACTTCACCTGTTTTCAGAAATTGAAATAGCCTGTTTAGATATGTTCAAACAAAGGTCAGAATTTGATATGGCAAATTTATCTTACTAGAAAGGAAGGTTAATGTTACTTGAAGATGTAACATTAGCGTCTATCAGGGTGCCTCAGGGCATTGCTGACGAGCTAAATAACATTTGGACAAATATCTAAAAGTCTGAACATCAACCTTGTGAGACAGTTTCATCCCAATGAAGGTCTTCTCAATCTTTTTCCATTCAACACTCCATTCCCCGAGCCAGACACAGAAGGGGGAAATGTTCTCCCTAAGCGAAATCAAATGCTGTCCCTCATATTTCTTAAATGTACAGAAGCATGGCATAAAATCATATTCTCTAATAAGAACGGGAGGGAGTGCCTGCTACTATGAAGCAAGCAACACATACAACCACTACTGCCTCAGGAAAGGAACAATATTCCCATGAGCAAATTCTGTATCAACCAACACGCCAATTTTAAACAGGAAATTTGGATGATGCTAAAAGAGTGAAGCCTCCTTTCAAAGTTCATATCCACTGGATACTTCTAGACTTATCAATTTATAATTACTTAAGGGAATAAATGGCTTTTTGCAATTCAGATCACTAAAGTATTTATACTGTTGCATGTTTTTCAGTTCACATCTGGTTTAACAATATTTAGGTTACCTAACACCCTCAAAATCAGAGCACAAATGGGATAAATGGGAACAACAGTTGCCTATAGAATTCCCTTCCAAATCTATGATAGCTTTGGGAAAATGTTCATGCTTAACAGAAGGAGTAAACAAAAACTAAGCATAATAGCCTGGCTTGTTGTTCCAACTGTGCCAATTATGTGCTAAAATTCATGAGGTCTACAGATGCACCACAGGAGACCTTATAAACCATAACAATCACTCCAAGTTGTATAGATGTTGAACTATATGAAATGAGATAAACTTTTGCATGCATCATTCAGAAGTTGCTCCACTCAACATCAATAATCTTAGATTATTTCTTTTTTTACTAGAGAACTTCGGACATCCCGTGACCAGCCTGAGAAGAGAGGTTGACAAGTGGACTATACACATATGTCAAAGCCAAATAATTAAAATAAAAGCTTAAATATACATCAAATTTATTTTTTATTTATTAATAGCACCCAACGCTGTCTTATAGTGAAGAAATCAATAAAGGTTTTTCATTGTTTTCCTACCAGCGCATTTCCAAATCCAGGTGGATAATCTGGAAACCAGAAAAGCTGCTGTACCACTGACTGTAGGTCACAAGGATGCAGATCTTGTAAATGGATCCAAATATGAGTGAAGTAGTCATTTATGTCCAAAATCTGTAATAATAAGGAAATTTGGCCATTTCCACTTCCATGGTGTACTTCATTTTACAAAATGTTGTATCAAAAATAACTGCTGTTGAAATGGTAAAGATCACTGACTTAAATGTTCTGCATCACTTTATTGCATACTCCACATGTTTGACTTACTATTTATGACTATATTGTGTGTGCTGGCTACAACAATGCTACAATGAGAGTGTGTATTTCAGAAACAGTCATGAAATGTAGGGACCTGTTTATACATTTTACAAAATGAACCAACAATACATTAAAACTGCAGCAAAAGTGGATAATGTAAATGGTTAAATTATAAATTCATTTGTTCAAAGGTCCAAATATTTCAATGAAAAAGAGATATAAAAATGTAATAAAACATAAATTACATTTAAATGTCTGTACATGATTCATCTTTCAGGAAGGAGCACAAAACTAACATTCTGTACAATACTGCTTATTTTGGTCTTCTAAAATTCAAAGATCCATTTTCACTAAAAAAAAAAAAAAAAAGGCAGGAAACAAACATGGTTTCACATGCAATCTATGCAGTAATCTCACCAAAATCAAGTGAGATTATAACCCTGCAAAAAACAACACTTTTCCAATGTAGAAATGTGTACCTTGAGCCCTTTTTCTGTACCTGACAACCAACATAGTTAGTTGGATTGTTAAATTGGTGCATGACCAGCTATGTTTCTTCTTTTGGTTAACAAAGTATTAAGGCCACATGCTGCTAAAAATATGCAGTAGAAAGGGAACTTTTCATTCACAAGTGGAGTCAACTGATCTCATTGGGAAGTTCCTGCCACAGTCATTCAGTGGGAAAAAGACATTGCCCCTCTCTCTTTTCTCATGTTATGTCCAGTTTCCCTAATTATCTATTATAATACAAACATGGATCTATATTCTCAATTTGTATTTTCTTCAGATTTCTTTTTAAAAAAACACAAACAACAATCCTTTGTCCATTCTATCAAGGCGATAAATACTATATGCTAAGCTGTCCATCACATCCAGGGCACTTTCTTCAAGTTCTGATCAATCCTGTGTGTTATGGTAGTTTGGTTCCTTTTTCTGTTATTGACTTAAGCATAATTCCCTAAAATTACACTCACATATCATGATATACATGATGTGCAATGCTACTCTGCGATATGTTGCACAGCAACAGTACGTTATAGTAAAGCAGCTTCCCTCAAGAATGGTAGTCAATAAAAAGATTAAAAACAGCAATTCTATACCATCATGTTTGCAAAAATCTGATGGCAATGATGATCAATAAACCTGGTATATCATTACTGCTGCATTTCATACTGGTGGTTTATTTTTTAAGTCAGACCAAAAGTATTGATCTTAAATCAAAAAGACAACAGTCTCCATGCACTGAAGTGATCTGAAACTCTTAGTAATAAGGTCAGTTTCCTTAGGCTTCTGATTGCATCTCTGCTTCGTCCATCTGAAGAGTGTCATTATCACCCAATAATTCTGTTTCTGGTACAGAACCCTCCTCTTCCTCTTCTTCCTGAACAGGATTTTGGGCTATGTCTTCTGCACCATTATGTGTATCATCTGTGCCCTCTGAAAGCAGAGCAGCCCTATCTGCCACAGATGCATTGGAGGGAGCTGTTGTTACATAGCCTGTACTTGTGGAACCACTCCCACTGTGATGGGAACCTGGTTTTGGAATGATCTGTGGAGGTATCTGCTGTGGAGCCATTTGCATTGGAATCTGGACAGGGTAAAAATTTGGCAAGTAGGCTCCATAGGCTGGCATTGGTTGGTAACCATTTACAGGAATGTAGAGCTGAGGAGGTGGGACCATTGGTCTCATCTGCCCTTTCATTGGTATGAATTGTGGCTGAGGGAAAGCTTGAGTTTTCTGCTTTGGTCCAACATACCTAGCATTGCTGACATTACTAACAGGGCTTGTACTGAGAGAACTTGTTTGCGTAGTGTTGCTTGCCCCAGAGGTTTGGGCTGAGCTGTTGTAATTAGAAAGGTTTCCCCATGTTCTTAGTCTATTGTGTATGTCTTTAAATCTTGGTCTTCTGTTGGGGAATTCATTCCAACATTCTAACATCAAGGTGTATATCCACGTGGGGCAGTCATCAGGACATGGCAAAACCTGTCGATTTCGTATCATCTCAATGACATCCTGATTAGAATAACCACAGTATGGCTGCAGGCCATAGCTGAAAATTTCCCACAGTACAACTCCATAGGACCAGATATCTGAATCAATAGAAAATTTACCATACATGATAGCCTCAGGTGACATCCAACGGATAGGAAGAAGAGAATTTCCCATCAGTTTATAGTAATCAGCAGCATAAACTTCCCTGAAAAGGCCTAAATCCGATATTTTCACATTAAGTTTATCAAACACCAATATATTCCTAGTGGCTAAGTCCTTGTGAACAACATGGTGGCTAGGCAAGTATTCCAATCCTGCCGTATTCCTTTCCTGCTGCTATTTGAGTTACAATGTGAAAAAAATCTGCTGGCTCCAGAGTTGATTTGACTGTCTTGTCATCATCAGTGCTGCCAACATCTGAATGAGGTGATCTCATAACTAAGAACTCATGAAGATCACTGTGAGAACAATAACTAAAAATCATGCTTATGGGTTGTTCTTTTGTCACTATTCCCAGCAAACAAACAATGTTTGGGTGCTGCAGTCGTGATCTCATCATTGCTTCATGTTTGAATTCTTCCCGAAGAGATAATTCTGCTTTGTCTTTCAGTGTTTTGATGGCAACAACTTGTGTAGGTTCACCGGGTGCTGTACCAAAGAGATGACCTTTGTAGACTTTTCCAAACCG